CACCGGGATGCGGCGATTGGGTAGCAGCATGGGGGGCAAGAAGTGCAGATGGATGGTGGCCTGCATTTTTCTTAGTCTCGTACTCCTTGACCATGAACGAGTAGGTAGAAAGAGAATCAGAGCGTTCGTGACATCAGTGCCAAGATTAAGTCAGATTGCCTGCGCGGACGAACTCCACAGATGGAGGATGCGAGGTTCCCATGAAGCTGCAGATGGTCTAAGGCAGGCAGGCAGGCAGGCAGGGATGGGCTCACACCGTTGGGGGCACCAGGTAGGAGTAGTGCTCGCGGGATACCTTGCCCATGGTACTGTGAGACGGAGAAAGACGACGGTGACAGTTCGACCAGGGGAGGAGTGAGACGGAGAAGAACAAAAGGACCAAGACAGGGGAACGGCAACGATAGGTGAGATTCAGCATCAGAACAACCGCTCGATGCCTTGAGGTGGAGGCGCCAACGCCGCATCCGCATCGCTTTGCCTCAGTGGCAGTGGCAGACAGATACGGTAAATATTCCTAATAATAACCAGGGCGAGAAGGCAGGTACCGACACGGTACATACGGAAACATGCGAGATACTGAGAGAAGCAAGCCAGCTGGAGGAATAAGGTACTTCGGAGGCGGACTTGGCCGCAAGGTGAGGTGGACAACCGCCATGAAAAGGGGCAGGGAAACGAAAAACGCCACAAGCATCATCGTAACTGCCGGGGCAACAACAGGGCCCGTTTGTTGGCTTTTTCGAAAGTTTGGATTTGCGCAGGTGAAAGAAGATGGGAACTTCAAATTAGCGCATGCGCGGCACATTGAAAAAAAGGTGCAAGAAAGAGCCGCCAAGTAGCGGGATTCTTGGGGGTGGAGGGCGACGGGAAGTGGAAGTGGATGTCACTTTTTGACAGGGCAGGCAGGGGCGGGGAGCCGTTTGTTAGTCTCGGCCGCCGGGGCCTGCCCAGACCTGGGAGGGAAAGACGACAGGCGACAGCAGGAAGGTGCATCCATTCCCTCCTGCCTGCATCGCACTTGCAATTGAATTGCAGCAGCTCCTGCAGCCACGACGCCGCCTCATCTAGTCCTTCCCGGATTGCAGCTGCACCCCCACTCTTTCTCTCCTACAGCGGGCGGGTGCGATGTGATGTTATTGCCATCAGTCAGGCTCTTCCTTCCTTCATCACCTTCACCTTGATCACAGCAGAACGGAAAGAACAAAGTGCCCCAGTACGTACCTCTTACACTAACAGCGGGAGCAGGTAGGCAGGGGCGGGTGGTGTCAGTCGGGCAGGTGCGAGGTCCTAATCAAATTATGTCGTCTTTCTTCCCTTCTAACTTTTCTTCTGTAGTTTGCCGCCTGGAGGCGTACCTTATTAACTACTATATAACTCTTATAGGGAATAATTGAGGGCTAGGATAGTTTATAGAGAAACCTCTATAGCTACTTATAGGGGTATATAAAGAGAGCATAAATTACTTTAATTATAAAGAGTAGATATCTCCCTCTTTATATTATTATAACTTATTATACTAAAATACTAAAGTAATATTATATTTACTATTTCTATAACTATTTTAAGAGTAATAATAGCCTTACTTAGCTTATTAAAGAAAAAGAAAATAATATTTATAAGTTTTAAAGTAAATACTTTTTTCTTTAGAACTATAATAAATTTAAAGAAGTATTATTCTTCTATTACTTATTAGTATATATTATCCTCTACTAATATAGTTATAATAATCTATCTCTTCTTAAAATATTTAATAAATTTAAAGATATTACTAAAGTATTTAAAAATAATAAAATAATTAATAATTAGTATTATAAAATAAACTAGTTAAACTATTTAAAATAAAAGAGTTTATTAGTAGAACTTAAAGTAGTACTATAGTTTAATAGAGTAGTAGTTAATAAGGGTAATTAGATATATAGGGAGTAGTTAGAGTAAAGAGGACCTCTTATATATCTCTAGTTATATAAAAATTCACAAAAGAATTCTTCATAAAATGAAATCATGCCGTCCTGCTGCTATTATGACCCCTGCTCTGATTGGCGAATGGGAAATCATGTCGTCTCCTATTCGCTAATCAGAGCAGGGGTCATGATAGCAGCAGGACGGGCAGTCCTGAACTTCCTCCTGACTCTCCTAGATCCTGCTCGCTGCCTCGGCCTCATCTCTGTCATGATGCTCAAAATCTCCAATGTCAGCCTGCCTCGCACTCCTTAAACCCGATCTGGACTGGCCGTGAGGCTCGAGTCAGCAATAGCGGCGGTTCTTATCTGATGGGTTCGGTGGGAATCCTGCCTTCAACACCGCGCTAAATCGGACCCTCCCAGCCACCAGCAGATCCCACCACCAACGGGTTCGACCACATTTCAACGACCCGACGAGACAAAGACGCTGGCTTCTCGAATGTACCGTTTTCCGTCGTCCTGGCTGGTGGCTTGTCTCGCCTTGATACCAGACTTCATTTACGCGCGGCCAGCAAACATGGCTAGACCAAAGGACAAGACACAGAATTCCAGTCTTGAATCTCGCCAAAGCAGCAGCGCCTCCTCCACGGCACATGCGAAATAACGTCAATGATGCAGAATGTTTCACCAGCGGGCAAACGCGCCGAACAATAGAACAGCGGAAGTGGACCCAAACAGAAGACATCAGGTCTAGACTCCAAACGATCCAAGCAGCAAGTTGCGACCCAGGTTGAAAACGGTTTTTCTCAGCTGGCCGTTCCGACTCCCACCTCACTAACGAACAATGGTCGCCTTTTAGCCCGCTCCCAGAGGAACCTAAGGTAATAAGCGTAACCTTGACAGCCTCCACCAGATAGGCTATTTCGACATCCCCATTCGTTGGCGCGTGTCTTCTTGGCCAATTCCTTGTTTTTGCTTCCTTTTTTTCCACGCCGCGTTGCTCTGCTCGACTGCCTTGCCGCCGTCCCGCCTCCGCCGGACATCGCTGACGAACATGTCTCTCTAGTTTTCTCGGCAAGGCCATGATGACGCCGCCAGAGTCTGGCATAGAGGCCTTCAGCTCGACAAGGACACCCAAAGGCTCCATTTCGACTCAGAATGCAGCGATCACTGGCCCCGGCGGGCCTGCCGGACGGTTTCTACCGTCGATCCCAAGAGCACCGCCGTCTCTGGGCCGATGACCGCAGCCCATGGTCGAACCAACCATGTCACCATGGCGAGATTTCCCTCTGCATCGACTTTTCATCCCCGACAATATCCCTGCTCCTCCGCAACCCCGGCCGAACCCAACGAAAAAGCCTCCTCTCCACCGTTACGCGCCAAAAATCAACGACGATGCCCACTCACCTTGCTGATCCGGTTTTTCTATGCCGAGACAATCGCTGCGAAATGGCGACCGGGCCACTCCCTGCCTCGTGTTCGAATTCCCGCCTCCCGCTCACTTACACGCCAAGACAACGACATGCATCCAACGGAGCGCCATATGCTCGACCACGGCACAGTCTATCTCTCATCAGCAGAACCACTTATCAAAGGATCGTGGTCGCAGATCATTGGGGACTTTTTGGCTCTGAAGATCCGAGAGAAAAAGTGGTTCTACCGTGATAAAAGGAAGAACCGCAGCGGAAGGAAGATTACCCTGACGGATGTCCGACAAAAGCACGCAAGAGATTTAAATGACCTCTTCATCTCGGCTCTGTTCCTGACAGGCTCAACGGCACGGCAGCGGCAAAAGTCTCTTGGTTTCCGCCTCCATCCGACGAGTCCGTGATGGGCATGTCTCCTCCTCTGTGGCCGTGTGCTTGGCCTTCTCGGTATGGCGGCACGCGCGCCAAGGCGCCAATACGAAGCCGTCTCGCCAGATAAGCACCTTGTTCTTCGACGACTTTTTCCACGCCATTGATTTTCTATCGAACGGGTGTGGATAATGGAAATACACACAGACTCATGGGCACCTTCGGAGCGGGACATCAGAGCTAACCCAGCCTGCTTCGAGACTATTGTCCGGCGTGTCGATCTCGATGACAACAGGCCGCTGGATGCCCTTTTCCCTCTCCTGCGGGTGGCCTCCCCCTCGAGGTGGTAGGTACCTGCCCCCAATCCCGCTCCGCCCTCCTACCCGCCTCGGACGCCAACCGTTCCGCCAAGACTCGTGTAAGCTCCGGGGACCTGTTCCTTCGTGAGATGTGTGGGAGCACTGCAGCAGCACACCACACCACCAGCAGAGATTGCCAGACACACCAAAGCCATTAGGCAGACCACTTGTAAACCACGGTCACAGCACGGGAATTGAGGCTCACCCAGCGATTGCCCAGGCTACCGTCTATGGTGTCTTGGAAATATGCAACACCGTATGCAGCCTGCGGGAATCGCAGCAATAATGCACAGAGTATGCCCGTTGGACCCCGAGTAGAAATATGTAGACGTCATGACAGCGACGTTGGATGGCAAGCTGGCGAGGCTATTGATGCCCGTGTCGGACAGCCAGCCACCTCCGCCTATACGTGGCTGACATTGTCTCTCCCACACCAAACGTGTGTTGGCGTTGATCTCGTCGTGGCTGGGGGCTTGGGCAACGCGTATTCTGTGAGACAGGCTTCATCGGTATGCAGATTCACATGCTAGCTGAGACTTGTGTTCCACGTCGTGGCCGAAGACAAAGAATTCAAGTGACAGGTCTCAACGGGAGGCCGCCATCGCAAAATCAAAGGGACTTCTAAGCTGCAAACTTGCGCGGGGTGGTTGGCAGGGTCCTGATCAACGATCTTGCATCGGAGAGGGTCACATGGTGCCATACTCCAGGTACATGATTTCTGCGGACCGCCATATCGTGATGGATGTTCAGGGTGCTCAAAGTAGTCTAGTCACTGTTGATCCGCGCATGCAAGGCTGACCTGACCCAACGGTCTTCGTGAATGCGCTGGTTGGTTTTCAGCCCTGTTCGTGTGGTGATGATGTGTGTTATTATTATGTTAAGTCGGGGCCAGTAGAGCCCGGCTATCGTCTACCTAGACATTAAAACGGCCGTATCCATGATATCATCTAAAATAACCCAGCGAGCATGAGAAGAGCAGGCGCAGCCAGGAGCCAGGCGCTCAGCGTCACCACGCCAGCGGCATCCTCGCTGTCGCCGGAGCCAGAGTCGCCGTTGTCGAGCTCCATCTTGAAGTTGGCCGCGCTGAAGGTGGTGTTGTCTTCGGAGTGCCAGGCCTCAGAGCCGAATTCGACGAGGCCGAGCCACGACTCCTTGTCAATCTCGCCAGAGTTGAGAACGTAGTCGAAGAGGGGCTTGACGTCCTCGTCGAACTCGTTCACGTCGGAGCCGTCGCGGGTGACCCAGGTGAAGACCTTTTGGTCGCGCTGGTTGGTGTCGTACCAGAGGGAGCTAATTTCCAGTGGTCAGCGTCACATGTGATGCAAAATGATCAAGGAGAAAACTCACAATTCGGTCGATCCGAGGGTAATGTTGGTCAGGATGGAGTCGCCCATCAGCGGGTACGGGTTGCCGACCTTGCCCAGCCAGATCATGATCTCGGCCTCAGCGTCGACGGGGTTGTACGTCCTGCTCTTGTTCTTGTCGACGAAGAAGTCCCAGGCGGCGTTGGCGACGACGCCGCTGAGGTTCGCCTTGCTGTCCTCCCAGGCGGAGGTGGAGAAGTCGCGCGAGGCGGAGGAGCCTGGGTTGCCGGCGGTCATGGTCCAGCTGGTGGCGAGGCGGAAGGTCTTGATGGCGTCGAGGCGGGTGGGCAGCTTGGTCGAGTTGAAGCGGACGTGGGGGAAGGAGTGGACGTTTTCGGGGTTCTCATCCCAGGACCAGGTTGCGTCGAAGGCTGGTGTTGCTTGGTCGATCTGGAGGGCCGTGTTAGTCGGGGGTTTTCAGGAGCAGGGCGGAGAGGACTCCGGGAGGGCGATTGTGACTTACGGAGACGCATTGGAAGCCATCGCCAACGGGCGCCCAGGCGTTTGACTGGACTTTGGTCTATAGTCAGCGCGGGCGCATTAGAGGAGGGGACGGGGGGTGTGGTGTGAATCTCACGATGTGTTCGGCCACCGGAGAACAGAAGGGAGGGGAGCGGGTCGTCTTACAGATGTAGTTGGTGTCTTCACTTGTGAACTTGTCCTTGCCGCAGACCGTCGCGTCGTATGCGAGCGCGGTCTTGAAGGCAGCGAGGCCGGCCGCGGCGAGCAATGCGTTTCTCATCACGGCGTTTGCAGCTACCGCGGAGCAGATTGTATAAGATCAATGAGGGGCAGAACTGGGGAGAGGTGTTTGTGTGTTTGCTTTCGACCTCGACTGTGTTGGACGGCAGTAATGTAGGGAGAGAACACACGAGAGGTCCCGAAAACAAATTCGAGAAATGAGAAAACGATGATGTCGCTGGAGTGAATGACAATCCGGGGGAGGAGCAGGTGAGAGAGAGCAAGCGCGTAGCCAGCCGGGCCTGGACCAGAGTGAGAAAGGTCAGGAACCAGGGTCGCTGAGGGCAGGGGTCCGGTAGATGGAATGGGAATGGAAGAGATAGATACGTACCTAGAGCACCTTCTCCGATACCTATTGGGAGACAGGAGAAAAATGAAATAAAATAAAAACAAAAATGGGCAGCAGCGATACAGACTGAGGTCAGCCTGCAGATTCAGCTTGGCTGCCCCCGCTGCCTGCTGCTGCTGCTGTGTTGGCCAGGCTTGGTCGAGGGCGCGACCTGCAGTTCTTGGTTTCCTTGGTTCCTTGGTTGGCACTAACACCGGATGGGAGGCTTACCTAATCCGGAGCTGCTGCCCGATGGCCGGGGGAAGGACCGGTCTGGGATTGCTGTTGGGTGTGAGGCGGCATGGCGATTCTCAGGTCCAGTAGAAGTAATGTTTAAGATATTGACTTACGGCTATCTATATGTCTGCCATGGAACCTATCGCTACCTGATCTCGTTCTGAAAAGATGAGCTTGAACAGGCATTAGTGACACCGCCAGTGGCCGGTGACGTATGAAGACGACCGATATCCACAGCTTTGGATGATGACCGAGCGGATTTATTTCAAGTCCTTCCCGAATGAGATTTGAGATATTGAGTTCGTGTCCAGGATACGTTCTGTATCCATTAAAACCTGGTCATACTGCTTCACTGAGATACACCAAGCTGCAATACTGAACATTAGTGAGCTAGTTCGCAAATACCGTTTTGTAACTTAGCCGGCATCCGCATTTCGAAAGGTGAACCTATGTATTGACAGTTTATCTCACTGTCAAGTAACAACTGTATGGATGCCCAAGTGGTAAGCTCTTCGAGATAAAAAGCTCAGGCTTAGTCAAGTTCAGGTGCAGTGCCTAGTTCATCGTCATCGTTATTTTCCTTGAGAGGAAGGATATGGCTGGTGAATGTGACGCCCAATCATAATAACATGCTGCCACACACCTGAAGCTGCTGACGCAAGACATGGAATACAAATAATAACCCTCACTTCCAGAGGAAAGTATAGGTTGTGGGTGAAGATGAGCCTTGAAGATGGGCAGCTCCCACCACCTACCTAGTAGAAGAGGCTGATTTCGGTAGTCCTCCCCTATGAGATCAAGATTGTAACCCAGAAGCCTTAGTGATAACTAGAATAGTTATTAAAATTATTGCATAGCACGTAGACTCAACAAGAAGAATATGTATCAATCCTAAACACAGTGGTGAGGATGAAGACGGCGGCCGCGAGCAACTGGGGGCAGACCCTTCAGTATTATTTCACGAACACTCACTTTCATCCACAGCAGGACCGGACAATTATCAAGATATTGAAAATATCATGAAGCTCTGCATGAAATTAAGGGTCTCGTTGTGGAACTGCATTCCAGAAGCTATCTGCAAGAGACGCAGAGTAATGTGAAAGGGTTTATAAAATCCCATCATCGGCAACATACTTGATCTCACGATATAACGTCACATTCAGGTCAAATGAGTCTATTGAATTTTGAGCCTGCTTTACTAATGCCCTCAAAGCTCCCATACTCCTCTGCCATCAATACTCGTTCAACACAGCTAGTTCACCACTCGTCTACAGGCTACAAAGCGTCTCAGAACCAACGCAACATCAAACCCACCTCAGATCCCTTAACCAAACTTTCCATCTCAGTCACCTCATGCTCTCATACTCGTAAATCCATCATTCAACAAAACCCAAAGTAAAGCACTCTCATTCTACGGCCACACAGGTTCCCCATACAGCAAGAAAATCGGGTACACCGGGTCCAGAAAACCACCACAACCTCCGAACTCCCACATCACGAACGAACCATCGGAGAGGAAATAACGGTTACCAGATAAACATGCAGTTTCGTAAAGTGGCATGGAGATACCCTTTAAGCGTAACTGACTCCGACGCACGCTCGTCGACGGGAGTGCAGGAGGGCGGAGGTTGCATGCAGCTGTCATGAGCTAAAATTGACCAACCCTCTCAATGAAGCCCGGGGACTCATGACAATAGCCACAACAACAGCAAACCACCAGATCCTCGGGCAGTGCACAACTCACTTATACACCTTCACTTCTCTCTCAATGATCCATTATAACACTTACCTCCCATCAATTCACCATTCAAAAACATAAACCTATCATCTCTCCCCAGAACCACTGAATTAAACTCATAACCATAAACCGCAAGCCGCGCTACAGACCGGCCCAGACCGCCCTGACTAATCCCACCGGTAAGTCCCCCTAACTGCGCCGGGCGAGTCATACACCCAGCGCCCATCGCTTAAGGCAGTCCAACGGGCCCTCGCACCTCTCGGCCACCGCCGAAGTTCAGCTCTCGTAACCCGTAACGACCCCAAAACAGAAGGGGGCAGAATTTTTGGGCAGTGGTTGAGGCACATTTTCAGAGGGCGAGAGGGGGAGGAGAAACAATAGGGCGCGCCCCCAGAACCAACAAATTCTCGTATTTGCGCCGCAGCTACATAATCGCGGCCGTCGCCCCCTCGTTTCTCGTCTCAACCTGTTTTCCTCCTCTTCTTCTGCGGCGGAGTAAGCGACGATGACCTCGTAAGGAGGATACGATACGGCGATGTGTGGGAGAGTGACAGAGGGAAGACAGTCATCATCCCATCCCACCATCACTCACCACCACCACTACCAACACCAACACCCACTACAAGGAGAGAGACACACAGCAAACATTGAACCCTGAATTTCCACCCAGCACATGGGAAGACCCCCTTTTTTTCGCCTTGTTTTCCCTCGTCCGAAGACCGCGACTGGCCACACAACCACGCACCAAGACAACACCAAGGCTTGGGTGACAATCCAACAATGGGACCAACAGGAGGGAGCCGACTTTCCAAGACTCCAATCGCCCTACTGTCGATGAGCACCTAAGCGACACGAGGTTGGGAAGCAAAGCAAAAAAAAAGGGGGGATGATTCTCTGGGCAAAGTGCCGCCGTACCCGACCCTTCTCGCCAAAAGGTCGTTCGTGGATGCAGCCAACATCTTCCAGCGAACGGGAAGGATCAAATTGCAACCAGCATCGCGAAGCGTGACCGAGTGAGATCGGCCACCTGCGCCTGAAAAGGGTTTGGGCCCAGGGGTGAAGAGGCGGATAAACGAAATATCAGAGAATTTTTCTCTGATGAGCCTGCTGGTTGGGGGAAAGAAGACGCGCGATGGGCTTCACAGACACGGCGACGCATCGGCGTTAAAACACTACCGACCCGACCGACCGATTGATAATGACAGCACAGCAGGCCGAACGAACGACAAGCCAGACCGGCCCAGACCAAACCTGAACAGGCGTATTCCAGCGAGACGCTCGGCATAACTCGCAACACCCCACGGAGACCAAAGGCAAAGAGGTGAAAGCGAGCGGCTCCCAACCCCCCTCCCTCTCTTCTCGAATCCGAAGTCCTTTTCTCCAGTGCCCACGATCCACCTCGCCGAGCCTGTAATCAACGAGGCGTCGTCAGCAGTGACAGGGGTCGAGGCTGGTCCGGGTGGGAACCTGCGTCTCTCCGCTCTTGGTGCCAGCTTGGCGGTCCGCTGGCTGCACCAGGTTCTGGAGGCGAAAAGGTACCTCTTTTTTGCCCTGCCGTACAATCTGCATCCGATCCGTACACCACAGCGGCTGGACGGTGAGTACTTGTGTGTATGTCTGTGTGTGTGTGTGCATGTGTCTCCCTCCCTTCCACCGCATATTGACATCTCGCACGCTCTCCGTGTTTGATGTACCCTTCATCAGCTCAGCTCTCGGGACGAACAGCACGAGCTGCTTGCTTCTTCCCTCTTGGCATGGCTTACCGCCGCGCCGTGTAGCTATCGCACAGTCTGGCCATTCCTCCACGGCAGCTTCGGCTACTAGCGAGCAGGCCAGAACTTGACAGCTCCAACAAACATGAACAGACAGACAGAGAGCGAGCCAAGACCCCCTGTCTAGCGGAGAATAACGGTTCCCTTCACCGTACCGGCGCCAAGGTTCAGCGTCGAAAAAGAAGGTCGAGAGCAGACTTCGATCCCGCCTGCCACACACCTTATCGATCTAACGGGGATCTCCTCGTCAGCGAAACGGACTCGTCCGGATCGATATCCACAGCAATATTTTTGCCCTCTGCAATTGAGTTTCCCGATTGGGTGCACACAAAAGCACGTCAGTGGATGGGGGGCAGAACTGAGTTTCATCTCTGGCTGTGACGGACGGCAGTGCTGATGTGCTGTGTCTGTTCCTGTGTCTGTGTCTGTGGCTGGCGGTTCCTCCGATTTCCCTCTGTGCTGATGAGTGACACTTGCCCCTGCGCAGCATATGTCAATGAGCTGCTGAGTGAGACCTCTCTGTGGCCTCTGTATTCGTGCAAAGGTAAAGTTCTGTCTCTCGCCCACGCTGCCGCTCGTTCCCTAGACTCAGCCTACGCATTATGCTGCTGTGTGGGACAAGACCGAGCCAACAGGCACGCTCTGTGGCGTCCCCGCGCTGCGGCAATTGTTCAATGGTCTCGCCAGCGTGGTCAAGCATGTCTCGTGCCTGAAGATCGCGCGGCGTCTTTGCTTCTCTCTGCTAGCCCTGCAGTGTGCATGGCGTCAGCAGGGAACGGTGTGGTTTTGCCGTCGCGCCACCATTCTCCCATCCTGTCGCCTCAACTAATATGTGCGAGACGGTTAGGCTCAAGGAGCCTCATAACTCATATCAATCTGTTTTTTTGCCCCTCCGATGCATCGACGCATCTGGCTCGCTCGCCTCG